AACAATATCGAACTCTTTATAGTCCAATTCAAAAAAAACTCTTAAATTTATCCAAAGAGTAGATTTTGACTTGATTGAAAATTTCTTATAACGGAACTAAGTTTGTGCTTATTTTTGATGATTCTTGTGACGAAATTTCTGACCCCAAACAATTTGTGAAAATTGCCACTGCTGAAGACACAGGGGTCTGAAAGCAATATACATCAAACACAAATTATTTGATCAAAGCAAATTGGGAAGAGATGTAGATTTGCAAAATACGCACATAGTCTTATTCAAGTCACCGAGAGATGTTTTACAAATCAATACATTAAGTCAACAACTAGGACTAGGATCACACTTCAAAGAGTTGTATCAAGATGCCACATCAGTTCCTTATGGTCATTTACTTATAGATTTAACCCCGAAAACAGTTGATTCACTTAGATATTGCTCCAATAGTGGTTCTGTTCCAACCAAATTTAATTTACCAGCCAGAACAGAGACAAAGTTTTTGGACGATGGGTGCCCAAAACGTCTCTATTCACCCAATATTTCAAAAGTTTTCCCTAAGACTTGAAAAACAATTCATTCTCAATTGTCCAAAAGATTTCATTCAGTTTCTGAGCGATTGTTTGGTAAACCTATTAAGAAGAGAGCTGTAAGATCTTCAGAAACAAGACGTGCCTCTCGGCATAAAAGAACTATTTTAAATTCAACTAGAGGGTTACAATTGATATCTACTATCACTCCATTTGTCATCGTGACATAGTATGGAACAGTTGGTTTTAATTTGGTACTCAGTTTATCAATCACAAAGTGCACTTCCAAGAAAACAAAAATTGGAACAAAGGCAAGAAAAAGAAGAGATTGTACCAAAAGACTTAGATCAATTTACAGTGCTGTAAATGCAAGGTTGAAAACGACGGGTAACAAAAAGCATCTTGCTGGTTTAATTTTGAATTCTCCTAGATTTAAAATGAGCCACTTAGAAAACATCATATTTGAAAATCCAGATACAAAAGAATCTATTGTAGATTTTAAATGTGCACTAAAGCGAAAAAATAGCAATTTTCCAGATGTTTTTTTTTACAATTTTGGAAGCAACTCAAATTCTACTCAAACTTGTTATCAACAAGAATACCAAAGCAAAAGATAGAGGAACTTGGATCCCTTTAAAAATTATGAAAAGATAAGACTAAACAGATTGTATTCTAGGGGTAGAGCTGCGTAGCGTACGGGTCTGTGCAAAACTTGAGTAAAGCGAGCGGTTTATCAAAAAAGAAAGTAGAACCATTCTTACAAACCAAGACATTTTAGACAATTATTGGTCCATCAATCAGACGTTTCCGAAAACTTCAAGCTTTTTCAAATTATATCAATGAAATCTGGGGTATAGACATGGCTTTTGTAGACAAGTTAGCTAGTCAAAACAATGGAGTTACTTTGCAAGCTAGTCAAAACAATGAGACACTTTGCAAGCTTTCAAAAAACTGATTTCTCGAAAAAACACTCCTGAAAAGCTTTGTGTTGATAAAGGAACAGAATATGGGGGAAATTTAAAAATTTTTTCAAGGAGAATGACATTGAAGTATACTCAACAATGAGTGAAACATAAGCTGCATTTGCAGAGAGAGCAGTTCAGTATTTAAAACATGTAATATATATCGTTATATTGAAGACAAAAAATTAGTGCACAAATTAAAACAATTTCTTTCTACCATGAATTGTCCCAAAAATTGGTCTTCTGGAAAATCTCTGAGAGATGTGAAAAATAATGACTTTTTATCAATTTGGTATAAAAAATAATTCATGAAATACACTTAACCAAAATTCAAAATTGGGGTCCACAGTTTACCGATGAAATATTTGAAATATCATCAATATCAACAAAAAAACCGGCAATGTATCATCAAAGATCTTAAAAAAGAAGAAATTCTGGACAAAGTTTATGAAAAAGGGCTGAGGAAATGTTCAGATTAAAGGTAAATCATTTTTTGAGTAGTGGCAAGTCAATGGAGCACGACATCGAAAAAGTTGGTTTCGAGGAACTGTTTCTTGCCCAGAATGTAATTATTCTTTTTACAATCAGCAGGAAATAAGTTCCCAAACGAGCAAGAAGTGCATAAAATCTGCCCCCAAGGCAACAAAATGTGTATCATGTGAAGAGTATTTTCCAAGCTATTCACTTCTACAGCATCGCAAGAAAGATCACGTACTGGAAGCGGGGAAACAAGCTATTCTGTTGCTAATTTGAATAATCTTGGAAGTCGAAAAGGATAGTGAACAGATAGTAAATGAGTTGCATACCCATCAACACTTCTTAACGGACACAGAGATGAAAGTTGGACGTCACAAAGTATTCAATTTTCAACTGTCGAAAACAGATCCTAACCTAGTTAATGCAAAAATGATCAAAACTTTGAATAATTAGCAAAATCAACCTTGCCTTGGGATTTGTATTATGCAATATCGAAACCTGCGAATATAGTTATTTCTACGCTCTTGAAAACAACACACTCTTCGGTACTAAAGCAGAGTTGACAGCTATACCAAACAAAGTCAATAAGCAAGATATCTTTGAAGTTTGTACGCAAGAGTGACAAATTAAAAAATGGCGATTCAACCTGATCGCTAACGTCATCATTTTTGCAGCCCTGATTGAAAAGGTACCCAATGGGATGTCCAGGTTCAGTGATTTTTGGACCACTTCTGAGAAATCATTGTTTGATTTCGGGCTCAAGGAAGCAAGCATACAATGATAACTTGTGTTTATTCCCAGCAATTAACGAATATTGAAAGATCGACATCGATAATCTTTGATGATTTTATTGAAAAATCGGATTGTGATTCGAAACAGTTTTGATAGATAATTTACCAATAGTTGAAGTTGTCCCTACCCTTGGCTGTGAAAAAAAAACGATCGATTTTCATAATGATAAACAGATGGACATGTTAAAACTCGGCTGCACACTATTGAACCTAGCGAATGTTTTTCTATACAAGTCAATTGAGTGTAATTTTTATCCATTTTGGAGTGAGAGTGTGATAGTGATATGCTTGGAAAGTACGGGATGATATGAATGGTAGCCCCTCAATTGTTTTAACAAGGAAATCAGTAGCAAAGGAGACGTTCTCGAAAATCGTTAATTTTTTGTAAATCAATCGTTATGCTTGATGCCATTAAACTATCTGTATTCGATGTGCCAGCTTTCAGCTTTGCCCACAGGTTACGATACAAGATGGGACTACAATAAAGAAACCCAAAAAAAAAGGCCAGGTAAATTCGAGTTCAAACCTTTGCAAATATGGTCATGTCATGTTTTCAATCAACGAGAGCTCAATGCAAAATTGAAAACTCCTTCACAACAGGAAGTCTGAAAAATGTTTTCTTCAGAGTTGTTGATTATTTCGGCCCTTGTTAGACTGTTTTTTGGAGAAATCTGTTGCTTCATTTTCTGCCTTTGTCAAGAAGCTAAATCTAGCTTTTCTTTCCTAATCGCGAAACAGAGACAAGATACTGTTCTGCTTCAAAGTAACCATCGGGACAAGTATAAAACCAAACTTCTACTTGGATCTTGGACTACAGTGTACAAAAATTCAGCGCCACGTAAAGTATTCGACAGTTTTGATTAGTTTGTTGTTTTTGATAAGTCCTTCATCTGAGTGGCAGCCGAAACAATGAATTTGTTAAAAATTAGTTCCTAGGGTAATCAAAAATGGACACATCAAAGCATACATTGACAAAGTATCTTGGTGACGACAAAACCCATAAAGCTATTACCTAGCAGTCCACCAGGAAGCTCAACTTTGCAGCCAAAGGCTTGTTTGAAATTGAGCTTGTTAAATATACTATTGAACATCCTGAACCAATCATTGAAGGATTCTTTAAACTACAGTACGCCACGTTGAGATTGCTAGAACTGTATTGTAACATTTTCGACAAGATTTTTGAGGTTAACGAATTTGGCGAGCTCGAAATTGACACATATTCGCTCTATTTGGCTTTAGCAGAAAAAAAAAGATTTCTTATGAACGTGTCCTTCCCACCAAGCGAGCAGAACGGGTTGAAAAGCAAAACCAGGACTGTCGAGACAATTTTAAAGCAGATTCGAAAATTACATTTTTTCCCTCGCAATTTCTGGTTCAAGCACAAAAAGAACGTGACAAGGGAGAACGAGGGCTGCTCAAAGAGGAGTTCAGATGACTGAAATATTGCCAGTGCAGTAAAATAAAAATCAAAAGTATTAATTTAGCAGAAAATGACTGATCAAATGAACATTGGAAGACTCTGGAGATGGTCGGATGCCAAAGTATCGACAAGTATTCGATGAGCCAGTAAATATGAAGTCAACTAATAGAGGATTTAAAACGATTAGCCTTGCAGTTGCAACTTATGAACCAACAACTAACAAAGTACTGAGCGCTGTTGTTACCCTAATTGGGTTATTGAATATGATGGAATACATACCAAACCTCTCAATTTGTAAAAGTTTTTCCTGTAATTGAACTTTTTTCAACAAATGATTCTTTTTAAACGCTGCGCTTGGATAACAACTCACAATCTGTTGTTTCTGGTAATCCAGAAAACGTTTAGAATCTTGAACAAACTGCTGTTCGGCAAAATCGGGCGTCCAAATTTTTTTGAAGCGTACGATCTGAAACTCTTGTTTTAATACATGGGAAATATTTTCCCTCGCAATTTGGCTCCAACATAAACTACGCATCCCTACAGCCAGCTAACCATCCATCTATCCAACCTATTTTTCTGTTTAAGATAAACGTTGCCCTTTTTTGGGCCTGCTAGTAGTTATAATTTTACATTGTTCTACTTGTCTCTTAGAATGAATCAGTTGACGATTTGATCTAGAATTTAATCTTTAAAAAGCAAAAGATGTCATGCGAAATCTTAGTGCGCGATAATAATCTTTCGAAAATGAATCGAAATGCGATTACGGTCATCGCAAAAAATGATTCGTTCAGTGATTTTCATTGCTTATCATTTTTTGTGCGTTTCTTAGAATACTCATTAGACGATGCTTTGATACCCGAAAACACTTCACTTATAGTTGTCAGACTTCCTCGAGGATCTGGATCTGGTCCCAAGGTGTACAATCCAGTGTGAGTTTTCAATTATTGGCTTTCGAAGTTGGTGGGCTTAAATTAGTGCTTATCATAAAATTGAATTACTGTTTAGTGACAAAACTACAACCAAGATGAGCTACAGCGCCAGTATAGCGCAGGCACAGGCTGCAGCTCAGAAGGTATGCGATCGCATAGACGACATGATTAATACATTTGGTTGCCCTAGTGATCAGTACCATGCACTGTGATGTGACCGTGTACCATACTTTTCCCAGTTAGAAACCCTGTATACGCTAGCTAAAACTAAATTATTACACCTGCGAGAGCAATTGTTTTTTAATCCGGAGCTAGACTTTTTCCCGCAAACAACTTTTCTTATAGATTTTTAAAAAATGGACATTGCTTTGTTATGGAACCTGACCAACTTCGAGGTGCGATACCACTTGGTCTGGAGGTAATTTGATTGCTTTTGCCGCCTATCGTCAGGGGTTCGAGACCAGGCTGCACCTTGTTTTTTTCAGTGTCTGAAGTTGAAAACTTTTTTCCCGGAAAAATTGAATAGTAGTTCGATAATTTGTCGGATTATGTTTTGTCGGCTTAGTTGTCACTACACGGATTTTTTTGCGCTGTAAGCATTTTTCATTGTAGTCTCAAGTGTCGTTGATTAATTCCTGTTATTTGTAAGTTTACTCACCTTGACTGGTATATTTTCTTTCTTGCAGTTTTTTTGCTTAGAAGCTTTATTCGGCCTTAATGATTTCGGCTTATGTTTTTGTCGACTTAGTGAATTTATTATTGATCGGGTTACGGGCAAAAATGATTATTCAGAGTGTTGAACGTAGTGAAGACTCTTATATAGGTCTCGCTGATTTTTTTTGTTTGTTTTTTTTTCGGGAAAAAATCCTAAAATTTCACGCTCATTTTGGATTTTTCGCGGTTTGACTTGTGATTTGTTTTTAATTTCAGTGCATTTTCATTGTTAAAAAGAAGGCAAAATCCACTACTGAGCAGCAAAAATGTAAAGGTCACGAAAAATGTGATCGACTTCTAATTTCGAAAATGGAAATCAATTATCAGTATTATGAAAATTTATATGGTTATGGGTTTCTCGAAAACTACTCTACCGATGTTCAAAAAAGTAGAACCGATGGGACGTCCCCTGTGGGTCTGTATACTTCCCTAATCTCTGTTTACCCGACTTCATTTTCTATAGCCTTTAAAAATGTGTGTGGGGGATTTTGGACCCATATTTTTGGATTTTTTTACGTTTTCTCGAAAACGATCCTCTCAAATCCGAGGTTTTGTTTTCAATAAATAGAAAAGGTTGTGAGAAGCTCCCCTGCTTAAGCGGCTATGCCTAAGTTTTTTTACACATAAAATTGTGGCCCTTGAAAAAGTCAATTTTTTTTTTTTTTTTACCATTTTTTTTGATTTTTTTTCGAAACCATCCTGCCAAATCTGAGGTTTTGACCTTGAAATAAAAGACGGCTTGTGGGGAACACCCTCTCAGTAGCGGTTACGCCTAAGTTTTTTCACACAAAAAGTTATGACCCTCAGAAAAGTCTAATTTTTGATTTTTTCGAAACATTTTGACTTTTCTCGAATCATGCCCTCCCAAATCTGAGATTATAGTTCAAATCGAAAGGACAGGTTGTGGGAAGCTCCCTGCATAAGCAGTTACGCACGAATTTGTTTTTACGAAAAAAGAAATGTCCCTTAGAAAGATCAAATCTCGATTTTCTGTCGGCTTTTTAGAAACTTTTTGACTTTTCTCGAAAACTACCCTCAAAGCTGAGATTTTGATTTTAATGGGCAGAAAGAGTTGTGGGAGTTTTCCCCATGCATAAGCGGTTCACTCGTGTTAGACGTTTCGACCAACTTTTCCTCAGCGAACCTAATTTGTGGAATTCCGGGCTTCAATGGAAACTACCAAAAGACCTCGCAGAGGAACAAGTTCGCCTCAACAAATCAGCAACCGATTGGTTATGAAACTGCCATCACTGTTAAGATGAAAAAGAAACCATTGAAACTTTAGCAAAAAAGAAAACGTAATTCAAACAATTCTTAGAAAAAAAAACGAAGAACAAATTGTTTAGCTTTCAATATCTGATATGAAATATTAACGTCTTGAGTTTTGTGAGTGACCTTCATTAATCAGTAACCTAACCTGCCGATGTGATTGTTTCGAGTTTTTTTTTGCTGGGCGGCAAGAATATATTGTAATAATTCTTTTTGTTTGAAGCTCCCTTGCATATGCTGCTAAGCCCAGATGTTTTTCCACATAATGGCCCTCGGAAAAAAATCAAATTTTGATTTTTTGACCGTTTTTTGAAATTTCTCGAAGGTTATCCTGCCAAATCGAACTCCTAGTTATTTTATAACAGAACCAACTAAGGTTTTTGCTTAAGCCCACTTTTTGAAATTACCGTTTTCCTTCCGCATCAGTATGAAAAATTTTTAAACAAGTATTTCCAGCTTTAGGTTGCCTCTAGTTTCATACAACAAAGTCATCCGCATATAACTGATGAAAAAATCTGAGGTCTTAGATAATATATCATTGGCTTTGTGCTTCGTAAAATCAATGGACCTTTAAGTGTTTTCTTCGGGAGCTCCTATATTTTATTGAACAATTTCCGACAAGGTTATCTATTATTGAATCGTTTTTGAAATGCCTTGCTTAAAGTGAGGAATTAATCAATGTATCAAGTTATCCGGTTTTTGTGAGTTATTTTTAAATCGAGGTTATTTTTTGTGAGTTATCCTATAAGCCGATAAATTGGGATAAAGTTGTGATAAGGATTTGAGATGCAGCTGAGATTGGGAACTAATAAGTTCACGACTAAAGCGATCCGTTGTGATAGATCACTTGAACCCATTAAGATCATTGAATTCATTAATTGGGTTTTTGCGCTTTTCGTTTTTTTTCCAGGATAAATGTCTTAAGATTTGATCACGTACAATGAACACGAATTTAATTTTTTTTGCGGTTTGACTGATTTAATTTAAAGTTCTATTTGATTTTTTTTTGCTAAAAGGTAACGATTTTACGTGAAAATGGCGTGAACAAAATTTTAAAGTGAAAATGGCGTGAACAAAGATGCATGACATTTTGTTTCGAAGGTGGAATTCTCAGCGGGATAAATAATCACCTATTGACCCAGTTTATTTTAATTGGGTTAATCTTTATAATTGAAATTGAAATTTTTTTCACATGATTTATTGTTTTAAACTCAAACATTTAAAAAAAATTTACGTGAAATTGTTTTTTTTTGATGAATTTCTTGAGTGCATTCGCTTTTTTTACGCTAGCGGGCGAAGCGTAATAGTATGAACCTTCTTTTAACCTAACTCGAAAATAAAAGTGTTCAGTTGGTGGTACTTTTGCAATAATCGCGATCTGTACCATCAGAAATTTCATTGCATCTGTTCTCTGCTTTATTTGTAGCTCGCTTTTGTCGATCTGTAAGCGTCCGTGGCTGAATGGTAAGCGCGAGAGACTCCTAAACTCTGGGTCGCAGGATGAATCCGAAGCGTTGCAATTTTTTTTTTACTAATTCGAGGCCTATTTCTACTTAGTTCATTTTATTGAGCTGCATTATTGTTGTGTTCTCGCAGGTGTGTTTGCGAAGCGCAGTTTCACCTCTGCGGCTTTGTTTTAGGCTATGTTTTAGGAACTCAAGTGTTTGATATTGGTCTGATTTCTTCCGCAGCCCATTTTCTTTGCGGTATTCAAAAAACGAGAAAAATTTTGTTGCTTTAGGAACTTGCGATTCAAGCTGCATCTAATCCTCAAGTTAAAATATCCGAGTCAATCGTAAGTAGTTAGTGCTTCAAAAAATGTTAAGTAGTGATGGCTTCCCTTAAAGTTCTAAGTGTTCATTAGGGCAGTATGGATATCTCGAAAATGACAGGAAGTGAAGAAGACAAAATAGCCACAATGCAGAAATTCTCTGGCTCTGATTTCGATCCGTCCAAGTAAGCGTACTATACCATTAGAAAGTCTTAATCGTATTTATACTGAATTGTCATAATAGCTCACAAATATAAACGATTAAGGTTTTAACATATTGTTACAGATACGTAAGCATGCCAGCCAAACCGCCTCCGAATTACATCTGCCACAGGTGTGGACAGCCGGGCCACTTTATCAAGTACTGTAACTATGTTGGGCCAGCCAAAGTGGTGAGCATTAGTTTTGGAACTCCGATTTTTGGATCTACTTAACAATCTCCACCCCTTTCAAGAAAGGGGGGGGGATTGTTAAGTAGGTCAAAATGGTCGATTTTTCAACCAATCAGAATGCAGCAAAATCATAATTTTCAATAGAAAGCTCATTGCTAATTTACTGTATTTATTTATAGGGGTGGAGATTCTTAAGTAGGTACCATAGGGGGGAAAGGGAAATTGTTAAGTAGATCCCAATTTTTTACGTTAAACAAAGAAGTTGCGAAAGTTTAAATTGTTATCAGATAGAATTAATCTCTGAACGCAAGCAAAGCTAGTGTGATATAATCAGTTATTTGGGTAGTTTTTGTTCCGACTTTCGATACGAAAGTAACGGAATATTTGTGCTCGGGGTGGGTTTTTTTTTCTTCAGACAAATTTCGACTTTTTAACTGGCCATTTTTGAAGGAATTTTTTTATATCATTCGAAAGCTATTGTTGTCCTGAGCTTAAATTTGAAAAAATATTTCACCTGTGACCACTTTTCGTAAAGTTATGGGTGTTTAATGATTGCCATTTTGGCCAATTTGGAACAATTAACGCGCGATATATTTCGCGCTATTAACGCGTAAACGGAGATTTAATCCGCCTTAGAAATTGTTCCAAATTGGTTCAAGAAAGCTTATATGCCATAATTGATATAATAATAGGAGCGAAATCTATCTTTTTGTACTTTATATGGCGTGTGGGGGGATGATTTTCATTAAAAAATTCAAATTTTAGAAAAAAAAATTTCATTTTATTTTTTTATATTTAATTTTTTTTGTTATTACTGCTCATGAAATCTCAAAAGGCAGTCGGAACATTCAGGGCTTCGCCCTGATACCAGCAGTCTTGTTTATTATTTACGCTCAAAATTGTTCACACTTCACTTTTTGTGTGTGAAAACTCATTTTAAATTAATTTGCTTGACGGCATGCGCTTCACGCTCACCAAAGCTACGATAACAAAAAATGAAGAAAGGTTTTTGGGTCTTTTACTTATTCCTCTCAAATTTACAACTTTTGCAATTTTGTAGTACTCAATGTATAAATACAGAGAACAAAAACGGGGGTTATTCTCACGCGCGAAGGACCGAATGGGCGAAAAACTCGTGGGCGAAGGACCGAAAACAAAATTAGCCGAAAGTCAATTTTTAAAAAGGAGCAATTGCTATTCAATTAAAATGAAGTAAATGAAGCAATATTTCGCTTCTTTCTTAACGAAACCCTTGAAATATAAAATTTGTTCCAATTCGGCAGCGGTCAGTGACAATTTGAAAAATTTGCATATTTCTGCCGTTTTTATATTCGGCCAATATCAATATTCAGTCGCTGGAAATATTTACTTTCTTTCCAAATTTTAGATTACTGAAATATGATTGGCTGATTTTTATTTTCGCGCATTCGGTCCTTCCGGTATAAGGGATTCCACCAACAAAAACATTAATCACTCTGATTCGTTTGGTTATTACAAATGCAATTATTTCAATTTTTAGCCGATTTCTAACAAGGCCGAATTTTGAGCAGATGTTTGGCATTTTTCCTGTAGCTATTTTCTGAGTTTTTATTATGGTCTAGGTAAAACTATGCAGGTTATCTTATCAAACTTGAATAGCTATCAAACTTGAATAGATATCTAACTTGAATAGATATCAAACTTGAATAGGTATCGAGCTTATTAAAGTTTTTGGCTGATGCGGCTTATTTATAAGTCGACTTAAAGTTGTGAACAAAACATTTTGAAATGGTGCTGAAACTTGATTGGCTAGAATTAGCCAATCAAATTTAGAATTAGAAATCGAAGCAAAATGGTTTCAGCTCAAAATGTTGAAATATTGATTTTTGGGCGGAATAAGTAAGAAGACCCTGGTTTTAAGTCTTGATGCTCGAAATGATTTATCACCTGTTTAGGTCATAGGCGTTCTTTTCTTAAGGCCAATCTCAAATTTGATTTTTCGCGCGCGTCTTTTAAAATTTTTATGATCATTTCTGAATTCAAGTAATTTAAAGTTCATTTGTAAAGAGGAAGACAAATTCCGCTCTCTATTAGTACGTGAATGGATAATACATGGGGCAAAATTAACATCCAACACGGGAAATTTTCAGATTAATTTTGACGCAATTTCGAAAGATCGAGAAATTACTGACGCTAATTATCAAAGAAAATCACTCCAATTTCGGCGCCAAAAAGTCTCCAAGTACAAATTAAACAATTATTTTGGCGGCAAAACGTCTAAATTTTATCTCCCATAATCTTTAAGTGCCACTTAAGATGGTAAATTTTTGCCGTTTAATTTTTGATTGCCGCACTTAATATATTGAATTTTGTTCATATTTTCGGCACTGTTGAACAAAGTTTTCATTTTCGGCACTGCTGAACTTAATTTTTTTTCGGCACTGTTGTATTTCGGCACTGTTCTGCCCCATGTAAATTCAACGCTGGGGTGGAGGATCTTAACTTGGTCTAATTGGGGGGGGGGGTTGTTAAATTGAACTAATACGTGAATGGTTTTAGAATACTGAACTTAAGTTTAAGATTTTGTATCGGAATAAAAACGTCCACTATTGATCTGTAATTGGGTGAGTATCACGGAAAAAGTGCCCATCATAAATTGTTTTGAAATGCGAAGAGCTCAAATGTGATATTTTAACTAATTCAAAATTTGTTTCCCAAAAAATTCAATCATCGTTTTCGATTTCCTTGTTCATTGACTCTTATCCAACCATTTTTGTTTGTTGGGAAATTTGGTTGGCTGTTAGTCCTTTTTTTCTGTCAATTTTGTTTGACGTGAGAATGTACAAATGGCGTGATAAAACGAGAATAATTTTCTAAAATAAATTTTGCCTAGTGATTCAATTTTTTCTGATTGGGTGAGTTTAATAAGTATATCTGATTTTTTTTTCTCCGAATTTCAAAAGTTGCAAAAATTTTCATGAAGTCATAATTTTGCGTTTGACTTGAATATATTGACAATTTTACAACAGTCCGTTGGCTATATTACTGAGTTAGTATAATTTATCTATAGACCACGTGAAAAATGTTTTTAGGTTTTGTTGTTGTTGTTTTTTTATCTCGGAAAACATCTAAAACATGTTCATGGTCAAGTTCAAGTACAAAATTCAAGTTAAGATGTCAGCTGGGTATGGGAGCAAATAGAATTGCTGTAGTACGTCCATGCTGTGTGAGAGCTTCTGCGACTACTGTCTTGCTTAGAGTCGATGAACGTAGTTCAGACTCTTATATAGGTCGTGTTGATTTTTTTTTCGCGGTGTGACATTTGATTTCTTTTTATGTTCGGTTCATTCATTTTGTTGCAAGGAAAGCAAACTTCCTCTATCGAACAGCAAAGAGGTAAAGGTCACAAAAAGCATGATCGACTTCTAGTTTCGAATGTGGATTGTAATTTTCGGATTTCCCGGCGGAATAAAAAAATTACCTGTTGATCCAGTTTTCTCAAATTGGGTTAGTTTTATCAAAAAAGTGTCAATCATAGATTTTTCTAGAAATTCAAAGACCTTTAAGGCAATATGTTTTTAAGAGTAATGATCGTAATGAAGACTCTTTTATAGGTTTGCTGATTTGTTTTCAGTAAAATTCTTAAAAGTCTACTAACTACAGATATGCATTCATACTTAATGATGCATTTATAAATTCACTTAGGTTGATATGAGTTCAATTGAAATTCATCTGTTGAAAGTGACGTAAATAGCACTATCCAAATCTGATCGTAGAAATGGCACGTAAAACTTGAACGGTTTCTAGTTTCGAAAGGGGAATTTAGTTTTTAGATTCCACCTGTTGATCCATTTTTCTCTAGTTGGGTTCATGTTATCAAAAAAGCGCCAACCATAAATTGTTCTGGAAAGTCAAAGAGCTTAAAGGGCATCTATTTTTTTCTTTGAAATTGGCAAGTTGAGATTTTAGAACATGTTTTATTCGGAAAACTCTTTTCCAATCTTCGATTGGCTATGTTTTTCTTTAAAGTTCAAAATATAAGATTTTTTCAGAAAACAAGTCAGTTTTTTTTTCGTTTTACTTGCGTTCATTGACTTTTTTGGAACTGTCTATTGAATATGAGTAAATGTTTTTTTTTGGTTTTTGCGTTTTTTTTATTCAAAAGAAAGCATTAAGTGGCGTCCTCTCAACGATTCTTTCCGATTGCAATAATTTGAAGACAAAAAAGCATATACCAGTTCAACGGCCTAAAATAATTAATTCCAGAAAAAACTTAATTTTGGCTGATAGAATTTTATTAGGCTTCCCGTTCTTATTCAGCGATACTTTAATATTCGATTTTACGCTGATTACGCTTGCGATTAGCAAGTGTTATCAAACTGGATTATAGACTTTTTTCCCGCGTTAACTCGTTTAACAAAATCATTTCAATCACTTGTATGTTGGTTTAAAATGAATTCAAACTTCTTTGCGTTCCCAGTCACTTAAGCCTGGAGGTAACGATTATGCCTTGGAAGGTCCTTGGTTGGAATCTGAGAAGGACCTGTTTTTTTTCAAACGGGAAAAATTCCGTTTCAAATAAAGTTGTCGGCCAATTATTTGTCTGGTCATTTATTACCCTGACTTCGTATTTCCTTTTTTTTTCGCTTACAAAAAACCTCAGCCCAAATTAATTCGGCCTATTTTCATCGGCCTAATGACCTAATTTTGGGTCGTTTCAAGTGAAACACAATTTTAACACTTCCCTCTGCACTTTTCAAGTGGGTTGTATGTTTACTACTCGGTTTGTTGAAACTTATTTTTTCGTTTTGAAAAATGTTTTCACGTTTTGCAAAAATATTTGTTTGTCTCATACACTGCTACTGAGTTTCATAAAAAGATATCAATTTTAAGACCACCTGTGTACCTGTGAATTCCCTGTGTGCCTGGATACTCCCCTGAAGTCTTTTTCTACTTGACCCCTCTGTTTACCGCCTTCGAAAAAGTGTGGCTTTCTCGATAACTACCCCTCTAAAATCTGAGTTGTTAGTTTAAATGATTAAAACTGTTTAGAAAAGCTCCCCTGCATAAGCGGATACGCCCAATTTTTTCCTACACTTAAAGTAATGGCCCTCGGAATAGTCAAATTTTTCATTCTTGACGGTTTTGTGATTCTTTTTTTCTCGAAAACTAACATCTCAAATATGATATTGTGGGTTCAAGGGATTTAACGGGCACTGGGAGGCTATCCTGCTTTAGCGGTCTTTTACAAAGTTTTTTATCCAAAAATTTCTCGCCCTCGCAAAAGTCAAATTTTTGATTTTGACCGTTTTTCAAATTTCTTTGAATATTCTCGAAAACTTCCTGCGATATCTGAGCTTTCTTGCGATATTTTGGTTTCAATTTTAAGAAGGGGTTGTGAGAAGCTCATTAAATTATGCGACCACCTCCCACTTTTTCTGACGCCAAAATTTATGGCCCTCGGGAATTTTGATTTTTTGACCGTTTTTTTTGAAAGTTTTTTGGTTTTTTTTAAATCGAAAACTACCCTCCCAAATCTCACATTAGGTTACTTAAATTCCTGCTACATGAGCGGCTCCGCTCTGTTTTTTACACAAAAAACTATGGTTCCGGGAATGACATTTTTAAAATATTGACCGTTTTTCGGAGTTTTGTCCGTTTTTTTGGACTTTTCTGCTAGCTATTCTGCCAAATCTGATATCATAGCTTTAATCGAAACAATACGTTGTTGAAAGCTTACGTTTATAATTGGCCGTGCCCAGTTTGTTTAAGAAAAAAATTATGGCCTTCAAACAAGTCAAAGTGTAGAAACTTACGCAGTTTTTTGGAAACTTTTTGACTTTAGGCGAAAACTATCGTACCAATTGTCAGGTTGTGTTCAATCGAGAAACTCGGTTTTGAGAATTTTCTAGTTTTTTCAACATTTAATTTTTTCAACTTTTTTAGTTATGTTGTATTTTAGTAATGTTTTTTTTTTCATAGACCACAATTCCTTCTGTGAAAAAGGCGACTGGTATTCCCATGATACACACAAAACCAGCCAATCAAGACACACCAGGGGCTATGCTCACAGCAACCGGAGACTACGTAGTTCCTATTATCGACAGGCAAGTACATGCGACTTAAATTTAGAACGAGGGCTATGAATGATTAGGGCATGGTATCTGGATAAGAGAAATAATTTTATTAATTTAGTTTATTTATTGAGATTAAGTATGCGTGTTTTGTAGTACTCGTATTGTATTGGAAGTTACATTATCGCAGCTGTCAATTGTGAATTGAGTCCGTTTGATACTTTTCGATTGAGCATGTTAAGTCATGTTTTGATTTGTAATATCGATAGTGAAACAGTAGTTTTGCCAAACTTACCTTGCGATACGACTGGAAAACTGAATTCATGAGTTTTTGATTGAATCATTACTCCTATCGTGAAGTATCTTGAAAAACCAATAGTTTGACATGGAAAATAGTTTGACAAGGAAAAAGTATCGGGATATATTTACATAGTTTAAATAACGGTTCATTTTTAATGACAGACTTGCAATATTTCGGGCCTGTAAAAAAGTAAGTTTTCGACTGTACTTATCGCCTCCAGAAATTTCAGTTTTTTTACTCTTGTTTGTCTATTTTAGCCAAGCAATATCAGAAGGCAAAACAGAAAAGCCGCCCTTCATAGACAATGAATCAGACGAGGAAAACAGCCAGGATGTGGACAAACTGACAGCTGAGTCATCTGCAGGTGCATCAGACACTCCTGACTCGTACAGATGTCAGCTGTGTGAGGGACCATATAGAATGGCTGTAATCACCCCCTGCTGTGGAGAGAGCTTCTGCGACGACTGTTAGTTAATAGATATGTTGTTAATTGGTGTCCCACAATCACACATCGCGTCATTTCACCGATTATGCTTTTTATGCTTGAACGCATACGTTTATAAATCCCGTCAACGAAGGTTACGTTTTGTTCTGATCAATCATGAAACAGCGTGTTTTTCTTCCATGTTTTTGATATCTTAAGGGCCTCGAAAAGATTTCTTGTCAGGGAAAACATGTCGGAACACACGGTATTTGGTCTGCTAGTGTGCGCCTTTTCCATGAATGAGGCTACCTAATTTTTCCCACTTTCATAACGAAAGTAACGGAATATTTGTGCTTCGGTTTGGTTTTTCTTTCTTCGACAAAGTTTGACTTTTTAACTAGCTGACGGAATTTTTAAATATCATTCAAAGTATTGTTGTCCTGAGTTTAATTTTGAAAAGATATTTTACCTGTGATCATTTTTCGTAAAGTTATGTGGGTTTAAAATTTGCCATTTTGGCAAATTTGGGACAATTAAAGCGCGATATTTCGCGCTATTAACGCGTAAGCGGAGATGTAATACGCCTTAGAAATCGTTCCAAATGGGTTGAAGGAAGCTAAAATGCCATAATTGATTTGTTAATAGGCGCAAAATTTATCATTTTGTACTTAATAAGACGTGTGGGGGGATGCTTTTACATAAAATTAAATTTTTTTTTATTACATTGAAACGTTTCATGTTATTAATGCTCCATAGACCTTAAGAGGCAGTCTGAACATTCAGGGCTTCGCCCTGATACGAGCAGTCTTGTTTTCATTTCTTGCCCATTTGGGTTGTTTTGTGATGCATATTTTAAACTTTTTAAACACCATAATTTTTTTTTTCATCTACCGCGGGAACTTTTCCACTAATATGAAAGGATCACAGTTTTTTAGTGAATTACAGTTTCGAAACTTAAGTTTATTTTCAGAGTTTCGAGTGGAATGAAGCAGATAACATGTTCATCCGTTTTTAGCAAAGATGTGTTTATCAAAAAAAAATTTGATTATAAAATGAATTTAGAAATTGAGAAAAATCCGTTGTGTTCTGTTTACCTGAGTCATGAAAATTTTTGCAATCTTCCGATGGCTATGCTATAGTCACGAAGTCGACTCTTTTTTTTAAGAGTCGATGATTTAGTTCAGACTCTTATACAGTAGCGTATTTAGCGCGGGGGGCGAACGCCCCCTCAAGGATTCGTCTCCCCGCCAACAGAAAGGGTCCCCCTATTGAGATATGCAGTTTTGGCTGACGGACCCTTAAATTTTTCTAAAGGAAAATTCTGTGCCAATTTTTAATAATTGTGAGGGAGAAGCGCGCGTCAAAAAAGTGCAATTTTTTGGTCAAAAATTTCCTTTTCCCTGTTTTTTCAAAATTTTGCCTGAGGCCAAGAAAGTTTGGTCAGAATAGGGTTTTCTTAGTACTCTGGGAGAGCTTAAAAAGACAATTTGGTCAACCCAAAAAAAGGTCGGCAAAATTTTCGACAATTTTTGAAAATCTCTCCTCGAGAGAAAATCCTATATTCGCCCCTGCTCTTACATAGGTCGTGATGATATTTAATTTTATTTTTAGGAAAAGCCCTAAAATTTGGTCCGGCACAATTTACTTTTTCGCGGTTGGACTCTCCTATCAAGTTCAGTTCATTTCTTTTGCTCAAAGGAAGGCAGACTCCAATATCGAACAGCAAAAGTGTAAAGGTCACGAAAAACGTGATTGATTGACTTCTAGTTTCAAAAATGGAATTTAATTTTCAGATCTCCCAGCGAAACAATTTACCTTGATCCAATTTTTTCTCATTAGATTGTTCTTATCAAAAAAGTTTCAATCATAAAATTGTTCTAGAAAATCAAAGAGTTTTAAAGCCATCTTTTACTTCAAAGAAGCTGAGATTTTTTCAAAAAAACAAGTCAGTGTTTTTTTCTGTTTTCTTGCGTTCATTGACTCTTTTCCAACTGTCTGTTGGCTATGTTTCCATTCAAATTCATTTACACTCTCCAATTATCAAAGCTGAAATGGCGTGCAAAAACGTGGTCGATTTCTAGTTTCGTACTTTTCCTAAAAATCCGATTTTCTCAAATTGGGCTAATTTCATCAAAAAGTGCCTAATTGCCAATTATAAGGTGATCTAGAAAATCAAAGGACTTGAAGAGCATCTGTTTTTGCAACGAAAATTGAAAGGTGATATTTTTCAAAAAAAAAGAAAAGTGTATTAGTACGAACCTTCAGAAAAAAACGAGTGTATTAGTACGAACCTTCTTTTTTTCCAACTTAAGTCGCAAATATTGGTGCGGCACCCTAAGAATGGTGAGGCACCTTTACAGCTTGACTTTCGTTTAGTAATAAGTAAACACAGTTGATGCATTTTAAGTTCATCAAGTGAATCGGAAAAAAATGATTTGTTTCAAACAACGTATCAATAATGAACATTCGATTTCAGAAATTTTCTAACTGAATATATCCCGCAATTTTTGAAATGCATAATTTATACAGAATGCGGCTTTATGCTTTGCGATTTGTTACATGCAAAGTTAGTGTGGATGCCTTCAGTTTGTTATTTTCCTAATTATTACATGCAAAATTGTACCACTATTGCTGAATCGCATTGGCAAGGTATTAGCACATGTAGCTGCTTTATTCTTGAGTACTGTTTGTCGGTTGTTAACCTTGCGTGGCTGAGAGGATAGTGCGTGAGACTCAAAATCTCTTGATTGCAGTAGGTCGGAGATTTGAATCCAACCGACAAACACTAGTCACGAATAAAGCAGCTACAAATGATTATAAATTGCCAATGCGGTTAAGCAAAAGTGACAGCAAATACACAAATAGACACAATTATGCTTGTAATAACTTGGAAGATTACAAACAGAAGGCATCCACACTAACTTTGAATGTAACAAATCGCAAAGTATAAAGTCGTAATTTTTTGAAATGCATTTCAAAAAATTACGAGGTATTTTCAGTTAGAAAATGTCTGAAATCGAGTTTTCATATTTGTTATGTTGTTTGAAACAAATCATTTTTTTGGTTCATTAGAATTTGCTAATTCGAGGCTTATTTCTACTTTTTTTTATTTCACTTGATAGAGCTGCTTTTTGGCCGTGTTTTCGCAAGGGTCTGGGAAGCGCAGCCTCGCCTCTGTGTTTCCAATTGTCTGTTGACTATGTTCAACTCTATAGTTTTCGCAGTACCTGGTTCGATTCGAGGCTCATACTTTGTTAAAAACATTAATTCAGATGATTGGATTGGATTAGTTCTCAGGAAACCAACTGAACAGTAAATGTTTGTGTTCAGGCATTTCGGATCGGCTGATGAAGAATGAGAAGAAGTGTTATGTCTGTGCCTCAACAATTAGCGTCACCTCCCTCATCCCCAACAAGAGTCTCAGGGACGCCGTTATCAAGTGGCAGAACGACTCAGGAGTAATCACTTCATCTACCTCAACCGCCAAAATGGGGTCAGTTGATAATGAAATATAATGTAAACAAGGATATCCAGTTACTGTGCAAGTAGCACAGAATGTTCCGACCATAGTTTTAAAAAATACAAAGAAAATACATTTTTTTTCAAATTAGTGTCGTTTTCTCTGCGTGTTGTGATAAAAGGATCTGATCCAAAAACTAGAGCTTAGGCATATTCGACAGTCATAGTAAAATGAGCAAATTGTTTAACTTCCTTTCTTAAAAAACTACTTGATTAACAAAAAAAATCTAAAATTTTTTTGAATTTTTTTGAAGTTTTCCGATTTTTTGAAGTTTCCTATTCCAAAAAGGCGCTAAAGTACTTGAAAAAATATTTTTACTCGAGTAAAACTAAGTTTCTAAGGGTTAATTTTAGCTACTTTAAGCTTTTAAGCTATAAAATTAAGCTACTGTAAGCCTACTCGTTCGCTTTATTCGCTCGAATTAAACTAAAAATCCCAAATTTAAAACGTGTTTTTCTCAATGCTGGGTCAATTTTTTGAATGTCGTTCGAATCACCACTGAAAGAGCGTTAATATGATGAATCATTCGACCCATTTTGATCATTACACTAGCGAGCTTGCGAGCGTTAGTGCATCAGTACGGACCTTCTTTTTTTTCTAATCTAACTCGCAAATAAAAGTGTGTACTTATTTGGTGGCACTTTTGCTATAAACGATCTAAGTAATGGAAATTTCATAGCATCTGTTCTCTGCTCTATTTGTGGACAGCGTTTGTGTTTCATTAAGCGTCCGTGGCTGAGAGGTTAGTGCATGAGACTCATAGCCTCTAGGGCGAATCCGAGACAGCCGAATTTTTACTTATTCGAGGTTTACTTCTACTTTTTCTTATTGCGCTGTATAGAACTACTTTTTGTCGTATTTTTTAAAAGGCCTGAGCAAGCAAAATTATTTTAAAAACTATGACTATGTGATTTAAAGGGAAGGAAGAAGCTGCGAGATTTAAAATTCATCAAATCATACCATTGTTGTTCCTTTTTTAAGGCCTACACTCGGTTTTTGTAGTTGTTTTTATGGGTTTGGGATATGTTGCCTCAAACTTGGAAGCGCAATGATAGCAGATCATGGTGAGCTTCAAACCACCCGGTGGTTTGAAGCTCGCCATAATCCGTTATCATTGCTTCCATGGCTGAGACAACATATCTCAAAACCATATAAATAACCACAAAAATGGACTCTTTTCCACTCCCCCTACATTTCAACTTTTTTTTCAACTTATTTTTCGTAATATTCTGGCTGAATGCGTGATTTTAGGATAGAAGGTGTAAAGAGCAAATGTGTTCACAATGCAAATTTTCAACTTAAGGACAACTTAAAGTTAATTTTCAAAACTGAAATTTGAAATGTGTGTGGGGGCGACCTTTCGATTAAAATGGGCAGTTTTTTCGAGTTAGAGTTGGGGACCGCGACCGATTCCCCATTACTCATTCTACTTTGTAGTTCGATATGGGTAATTTGTTGTCATAATCATACAATGTTTAGAACATCTCCTGGTGCTTCCCCGCACTACACACCTTCCGGAAACAGTTCGCCACACCATGGCAGCAGAACTCCGCAAAAGGGGGAAACAGCTGTGGATCCCAGCATGAACGAGTCCAGATCGAAATCGCTATCCAGTCGACTGCAGGTGATCCAGGAGATAGAACAAGAAGATGGACTCGTCTCTGTCAATCCTGCAACAGCTGCTGGCGGAGAGAAGGAAGTGAATGAGAGTAGCGCAGTCGCGAGAGAGGAAGGATTAGGAAGCGGATTGATTAAAGAAATGTCAAAGACTCTCTCTGACCTGTATGGGGCTATTAATTGGGATGATGTAGCTAAAACTGGAATTAAAAACAATTCTGCTGCTCTAGCTACTACTGCCAATAATTTACCATACATTTCTACCAATGCTTCTTTGACTAAGTCACAAACTAGCAGTTCAGTGCCTGATTTTCTAGCCGCGTCCTCGCATCAAGCGACCAAATCGCCAGATGCTTCAAATGTCAACAACAACAATAACAAGGTAAGCATTTTGTTGATTAGCTTTAATTATTTGTCCTGGTGAGAGCTGCTGCTTGTGCTACGTGCGAGCTTCGAAATCATCAGCCGCATCGGTTGGGCATCTGATCAAGCCATCGCGTCATGCAGTTGTGGAAATCTTTGAATCTGGCTACTGAACAGCTTTGTCAACTTTATGCTTCTTTGTTCCGAGGACCGATGCTTCTGCTATATGTCGGAAAGTTGAACGAAGAGGAAATTTAAGAAATTGATTGCAAGTTTCAATGATGCAAAGTCTAAGAACTGATGAACTGGACTTGATTTAATTCGGTGTATTTAGAACTAAAAATACATGTTATTTAGTGGAATTCAGTATGAGAAGTGCTGCCTTTTGGAAGCTCAGTAAGGTCCTCATGAGATGGTATGGGTTGTTCAGTTAAGATGATCGTACAGTCATTCTAACCAGCACTCGATCCAGATTAAAGAGAACCTACTTTTTTGAGCTTCTGCAAGCATTATAATTGAGATCATACTCATAGCATATGTTATCAGTGCCATATTATTAGGCCTATATACAGAATTTTAATCGAACTGCAGCTACATTATTGGATCAAACGAAAAGAAAAAGGTTTTCTATGGCTACGTTATGACATGGTCTTCATTAACATCGCGAGATTGAAGTCTATATCGCGAGATGCGGGCGTCTACATTAATAAAGCGAGACTGAGGCGGAAATTGAATGTCAAAATATCGCTCGGCAAATATCCGTTTACTTAAGTCTTGAATACCGTAGTTCTTCATTTGGAAAACTACTGAACTAAAATTAGAGCAACTAATTTTCGGGTGGTCATTTTTCTTAGTTCCGCAAACTTTGTTTTAGCATGTGCACGGACACCATGCTACAGATCCGATGTGCGCTCATAAAATTTTCTCAAAAAAGGCTGAAGTTATTGAGACAGCGGAAAACATTAACATAAATTTCCGGTTGCTGTGCTTAATTTCTTAATATCTTTGAAGTACTAAATAGAAAGTATATTTTTTGGAAATTAAATTATGAAGAGTTGATGGACGTTGTGCGGACTCTTAAATGGTCGCGTTGATTTTTTTTTTCGTTTTCCTGTTCAGGCTCAAATTTATTTTTCGAGGTTTGACTTCTGATTTCTTTTTTAAGTTCAGCTCATTTCCTTTGTTAAAAGGAAGGCAAATATGGCTGCATTGGCATCATATCTTGGTATCTGTTTTTGGTGGCTGATGTTTGACGCTAATTAAGAGCCCACGGCGCAGATGCTCCGATGTTTACACTGGCCGTCAGCGTAGTGTAATATTACGGACCTTCTTTTTTTCTAACCCAACTCGAAAATAAAAGTGTTTTTTAAAAGTGTTCATTTATTTGGAAATTTAAGTGTAGCATTGGAAATTGCATAGTATCTGTTCTCTGCTTTATTTGTGGCTAGTGTTTGATCTCTATTAAGCGTCCATGGCTGAAGGTTAGTGTGGGAGACTTAATATCTAGGTCGCAGGTTCGATTCTCAGATGTACCCGACTTTTTATTATTGCACTTTTTAGAGCTGATTTTGCCGTGTTCTTGCTTATGTTTGCGAAGCAAAGCTTCGACTCTTCGTAGAGTCTTAATCTCGAGGTCTGCTTTCCGATTCTGGCGCATGCTAAAGTTTTTTTGACTTGTACCTTTTAATTTCTTTCATTTTTTGATTCTTGTTGGACTGATTGTTTTGTATTTTCTCGTTTGTGTTTGAAAAGTGAAGCTCATCTGTGTTTAAATAATTTTTTCGTCAATAATGGAGAGGCAAGAGATACAGCTTCAAGAACTAATTAATAACAGCTTAAGTACATAACTAACGATTGTGTTATAAGATCAGTTCAATATTTACAACCTAATTTGAAATTTGATGTTAAGTTTGTGTTCCATTGGTGCGTCCTCTATTAGTTTAGTTTCAAGCAAATAACATGAAATATAAATAATGATTGCATTGAAGACTCGTATTGGTGTTCGTTTTTTAAAAAAAATGTCTTAAAATTTGTTTAAGCTCAAATTAATTCGGTTTTTTGCGGTTTGACCTTAGATTTCTTTTGACGTGCAGTTCATTTCCTTTTTTAAAAGAAAGCAAATTCAACGATCGAACAGCAAAAGTATGAAAGCCAGGAAACACATGGTGGACTCTTAGTTACGAATCGTTATTGTATGTTTTTTTGTTCATCTAAATATCGGAAGTGTCTTGCCTGAACCTCTTTTTTGGGATTTTTTCTGAAAAATAGTTATTCTTGCGGATTTTGTATACAGTGAATTGACATATGAATAAATCCCGTGACAAGTATGTAATAACAAGTTTCTTGTGATACGTCATTATCCGTTATTGTTCCGACTATTGAAAATGGGTAGGAACTTTGTATTCGGATGTGTTTTAGTTTTTTCTTTGTTTTCCACGCAAATTTAGGTATCACAAAAAATCATATATCATATAAAAGTCCTTTCAGTCTTGATTCGAACCACATAAACAAATTCCCAACATTTTTTCTTGTGTCGAGAAAAACCGGTTTGAAGTTCTTGATTTTTGGTCTTAACTCGAGCGAATAAATAAGTTTACAAGAGCTGAATTTAAGCCGTAACTTTTGAGTTTTACTCAAGGAAAGTTTTTTTCAGCTTAGCGTTTTATTAGATTTTTTAAAAACTGCAAAAAAAAACTGAAAAATTTTGGCCTCATATTGCTGTTTGACGAGTGAAAAAGGTTTGATAGGTTTCGACCCATATCAAGCTTTTTTCCTTTTTTCGGCTTGATAGGTTTCGGCTCATATTGTATCGGTTTAGTGACCTCGTTTTGTTTCATTTGATGGGCAAGTAATTTTTTGTGTTTTGAGTGTGAAGGGGACTTATTAAGTTTTGATATGTTTTAACTCTTTTTGATTTTTTTTCGGCTTAAAGGTTTTCTGCTACGGATTTTTGGCTTTGTTACCGCGTGGTAAGTTTTCTTCCGATGATAACTTCACCTTGCATTGTTGTGGCCTGATTTTGTTTCAAAATGAGCTTTATTCATTTTGATAGATAAGTTTTTTGGATTTTTTTCGACTTAGCCGCTTTCGCGTTTTGTGTCACAAGTGGTGCGAAGATCCGTTTCGCCTCTGTGTTGAATTTTGATTTTTTTTCTAGTTCAATTCAAGTTCATTGCTAAAAAACGGATAGTTGGTCTCTCCAATTACAAAAGAGGAATCGACACAAAAATGTATTTTTTTTTTTTGGTTTAGAAAGATCGAATATCAATTTAAATGCTTTTAAACTAGATAACGCATCACTTCTGACAAGCTTTCCTTAGTGGTAAAGTCGGCTGGGAACAAATCGAACCTCTCTACGCTTTGTTGCAGTCATGTTTTGAGTTGGTCAGAAATACAAGTTGAACTAAAGCCAGGAATGGATTTAGGGGTCGGAACAACAAGTTAAGCAACTGAAACCAATTTCTGTCGGCTTACTTGCCGAGTGTTTTATTTTAGGTACTTCTGAAGAAAATTTTTCTACCGTTTCTAAAGGGTAAACATAATTCATAGTTACCTAGTTTTTATACACACCAAAACTTTCTGTCAGAAAAGAAAATGTTTTCAAACTTTCTTGTTAAAATTTTTGCATAGAAATTTCAGTTTTTTCGGATGCATTGTTTTTGAGTTGTTCTAAAAGTTCGTGGAGTAAGTTTTAGTTATAATTAGTTTTGTGCCTTTCAGGTTTGAGAATTTTCTTTTGAACTTATCAAAAAAATTTCGAACAACAATCATACATACCAAAAAAGTTTGTGGCGAGTGTCGCTCGCGATTCAAGAGTTTGATATTTTCTGGCTGAAATTTTTGAAGATTGATTTTTTTTTTCATTTACGGGCGTCTTTTTTCTATTGTTATCTTTATTTTGTTGCGATCAAGCATTCTCACCATTTCATTTCAAATTCATATTTGATAAGTTTGATGTAATTTACTAAGTTTCAGTTTTTTTTCAGATTTTCTGCTATTGCTTTTTGTGGCAATTAATTGAATAATTTTTGCGTCATTTTTTTTGAAAATTTCATTTGATCTTCGTCTATAGCCATCAACGAATAGAGCCTTTTCTTATCCCCAATAGGATAATCCTGTAGGATATGCCGGTTGTTTTGTTGCAAGGTTTAAGGAAAGTTTTTGAGTACAGATAAGAGTTTTCGGATCTCGATTTTTCTTATCGTTTCCATATTCTGCGATTGGTTTTTATGCGGGTATCTCACATGATGCAGGGACCGAATAATGTTAGCGTTTTACAGTGTTGATTTATATTAAACGCATTGAGCGAAAAAAAAAAGAAAAATTGGCTTAACGAGGTAAAAAGCAATAAGACCAAATTTTTTTAGAAGCTTATCAGAATTAATATGATTGATTTGTTTGTGAAATTTGGAACCACAATTTTCCGTAAAAACGAATCAACTAAGTGTCAGAAAGGCAAATGCCTGAAATAGGGATCAGTTACAATTCCTAACGTCTGATGACAAAGTAGGCCACCATTTTACTATGAAAGTTCCAATTTCTTGAATTGTAAGCAATTTCAAAACAAAATACAGTTTTCAAAGAATTTGTCCTGGAACTTAGTTTTGCCAAATAAAAGAATCACTTCAGCTTTCAGAAATTTTTCTTTCTTAAATTTTGTTTGACTACACAAAAGAATCAGTTCAAATTTAATGATACGCTCAAAAGCTGGCCCAGTAATTTTCGCGTAAGTTTGAAGCAAAGGAATCGACTCAAAATAGCAGTTTTAACGTAAATTGTGGGTCCGAATTCCACGAAAATTAAAACTTTTTATTTGAACTTTTTTTCCTATTTTTTTGTATTCTTTGTTTTTTTTTGCATGTTCTCAGTTGTGTTTTTAGTTTTGTTTGGCTAGTATAAATGAGCGCTGTCAAAGTATGTGTAAAAACATGGAACGAAGTAAAGCTTAAAAGAAATCGCAAAAATATCAAATAAAGATAATAAAACCATGACATTAAAACCAATATCAACCAGTACAAACTTATCAGATGAAAAAATTTTGAGTTGATGCGTGCTGCGAGTAAAATTACCTGAAAATATTGAGCTGATACGTATTGCGTGTCTAGACAAACAGCTTGTGGAAACGATGTGAAAAAGACCGGGGTTATCGATTCTAAGCGCAAACGCGCGTTATCAGCGAAAGGCAAGAGAGGCTGCATTGCCACAAATCTGTGTTAATAATGCTCGCGGTTTTCTTTGTTCACTTTCCACCGATTAGAAAATTTTTATATGTTAAGACGGTTGGTTCCAAAAGTTTTCGTCATTCAGACTCTCCTCCAGCTTGGGATAAACCCCCATTTTTCGTGGAATATGTCTTTGTGAATGCCGTTTAATGAACGAAATGGTTCAGCGCTCAGATCATCTGTCTGTTTTTCTATGAAACTCTAAAAATTGATTCTGTGAACTTGTTATATCGAGTCATTTCTACAAGCGTCATTACACAGAGTTTGGGCCGGCCGAAAAGACCCATTTAGTTGTGATTTAAAAATTCTGATGAATAATCAATTTTCTTTAATGCTAAGTCAAGCCACGCAGATATGTTTCCATTGCGTTTTCATTCCTGTATGCTGACTTGAAATTTCTGTTTGCATGTTTTCGGCCAACTGATTTTTGATTTTTTTTTGTGGATTTTTGTGGCATTTTTCTCATGTGCTCAATGAAAACCAGTTTTAAGTGTATTTTATCAGGATTTTGTCTAATATATGCAGTTGTCTAATTTTGTCTTAGTATGAATGAATTTTCGTAAACATTTATTGTTTGTAAACTTTTTGATTGGAGTATTAGTGACTAAGTTGATCGCTCTAGTTTTTCCATGACTTTAACAGTTAATAATATGCTGGAAGAGGTGATTAAGTGTCATCATTAATTCTTTTCTTATGCCATAAGATATTTACAACGTGATTGTTTCTTCGTTTAATTAGTTTTTTAAAAAGTTTTGATCGTTTGATGATTTTTTTTTGAATAAGGAATGCTGTAATATAATACCTAGCAACCGCTGTTGCTTTTACTTATGTCAAAGTTTCATGTCAGTTTGATGATTTTTTGGTTGGACCACTTCACGATGTTTTTTTTCTTCACAAAGTGATTTCGACTACCTAAAAGAAAGCTCGCTGGGGGAAAAGTATCGTATGATATCAAACCCCTTTCAGCCCTAATTTGAATTTCAAGAAAAATGTATATTGAAAAAGTGCAAATTTTGAGAAAAATTTTGGTCTGTTTTTTTTTTGCCAAAATTTAATGGCACAACTCAATTTTGATGATACTAATTTAATTCTACTGCTATTCGTACGTCATTGAAGCTGTTTTACTTTCCATACATCAGTTTTTAACCGAATTTGGTCGCCTTCTGCGAGAAACAAAGAAGACTATCGTGATTGCTACAAATTGTGTGACCAGGCAAAAAAAATTATTGCGGATTCAAAATAAGGGTATCATTGGGGAAAACAATTCGAAAGTTAGGAATTTTTTTTATGATTTAGAAGACTTTGAAAACTATATTGCTTATGATTGCAAGCTTGATGAATTGATATGAACAAACAAAGAAGATTCAGCTTCTATCAATCTGCTTGATTTGAAAAATTCTGTTTTTTTTTTAGTTGAAACTACTGAAAATGTCAAATTAATGAATTCTATTTATTAAGAGTTCGAAAGCTGAGAAGATGTTGATGGAAATAACAACACATTTTTGAAATTTTCGTCCCCTGTAAATTAGAACATTTATCCATTCTTTTCGATAAAGGTTGAATAAAAGGTTTTGCGAGATTCTTTCAAAAGTTCGTTGCCTCTGCATTAATGATTGACTACTTGTTTTTGGCATTAAAGCATTAGTTGGATGTTTGCTGACTATAGATGCCTAACGGTTTTTCAAACAAGACCAAACAGTGTTAATGAATGAAGTGCTTTCAAAAATTTCCACATGATTAGAAGTAAACCGATTGAGTACAATATATCGAACCCTCTTTTGTACGATTTAATTCTTTTTAATCCAAAAACAGAATAAATTGAGTAGCTGAAGCGTTTTATGTGAAATATCAAGGGTTACATTTAGTTAATCGAATGAAATTTCAAAAGCAAATGTAAATTTTTGCAACCTTTTCAAAATTAATCGGATTTTAACGCTCATCAAATTATTTATGCCTCAGACAGACACTACTTTTCAAGACATTGTAGTTGCTTTTAGTGTTCTCATTTACTTCTGCTGTTTGCCATTTTACTAGCGTTGACTTCTTAGATTTTCTCTTTTTATGTATTTTTTTTTCGCTTAAAAACTTACTTTGTTCTGCTCAAATGATTTCGGTTTATTTTTTATCGGCTTAGTGACCTAATTTTGAGACGTTTCAGGGAGAACATAATTTTAATGCGTACCTCTAGAGCGCACAAAATGCTAAACATCTTAATAGAAATTATAGCTAATATTTTTCATGACAATCATTTTTTTCAGCTTGTTTTTTTCTTTTTTCGACTTGATAGCTTTCGGCTTCTTTTATATCGGCTTAATGGCCTCATATGGCGTTTTTGGAGGAGCGAGAAAAAGTCGATGGGTGCTTGTCTGTGTTTTATAGACCCAGGGCTTAAAAAATTCTAATTAGTCTCAAATGTTTTGAATTTTTTCGGCGTTTAGTTTTTCCATCTTTTGCGGCTTGATAGGTTTCGGCTTCTATTGTATCGGCTTAGTGGCCGTATATTTTCGTTTCACGAGAAAATAAAGATTTTTTTGTGTGTGTTTTGAAGGTGAGGGTGACTTATTATTTTTTTATAATTCCTAAGTTTTTTCGGCTTTAAGGGTTTCTGCTCAGATATTTTCGGCTGTTACAGCTTGGTAATTTTTCAAATTCTTATTTCACATTCTATGGTCCTGGCATATTTTAGTTCATAACTAGCCGTGTTCATTTTGATCGATCCAGGTTTTTGAATTAGATTTTTTCCTACGGCTTTCTTGTTTTGTATCGCAAAGGGCACGAAGCTCAGCTTGGCATCTGTTTAATGAGTGTAATTTCGAAGTTAAAGTCATAATGTTACGAATTTTAGAATATATACCTGTAAATTTTTGAAGCCTTAAAATGCTGTTTAATTTTAAAAATAAGTTCATCTTTTTCAAATAATCAACCAAATTGAAAAAAAAAATCTGAAAAAAATAAACGTTTTCAATTTTTCCCCTCATTTTTGAGCGTTTTGCTTTAAATCAATGTGGTTGAAACATTCTGTGCTACACTCACAGCAACCGGATATCCCTTTTTATTTAAGTACACGTATTTTCCGATTTGATAACCTCCAGTAAATTGTGCTCAAAGTTCGAAAGATTGAGAGTAACAGCATTTTCTGTTTCCTGAAGTTCATTTATATTTTTACCACGATATATTGGCTGTGTTCAGTTTTCCGATGAGTTACTACGATCAAATAGTGCGTTCAATGTAATTAAAAAGTTGGGCCTCAGGAACCGAATCAACCATGCTCGAGAAAGAGGTTGAGCGAAAAATTTCTTAATAATCAATCAGTTCAATGAATTGTTTCGCCTTTTGCATATGAACGTATTTCAGAAAAAAAAAGAATAAGAGCTTTCGTCTCGGAATTTTAAAACTACGATAATCACGATGATGTATGTCTATACCGTGAAGCGTTTAAATCAAAGTTTTTAAGCTAAATAAAAGTATCATTTTTTATCATCTAGAAGTCACCGGCAATTTTAAACTATCATTAGCTAATTAAAACATTGGTATTTATATTGTTCAAAAAAAGTTTCGAATGTCAAAAATTATTGAATTTCAAAAGTTTGAAAGAGTACAATTTTCAAGGGATGTTTGATATGCGTTTTAACAGGTCAGAGAAAATTCTGAAGACAGAGAAAGCAGCCCAGCCGGCGCAGAGTTTGACACTGTAACCAAAGTCTCGCCTCATTATCAAAAACAGAAGAATGATGATAGCAGCGCGACCTTCGATCCATCCAAGCTTTCTCAGTCAGACGCAGAATTGTTCGTGAAAATATTAAATCATGCAAAAACTGAAAAAATGGACCATTTGCATTAATTTTTGGTTTGATTTAGGCTCAAATCCTTGTTGTTGGATGCAAAGAAAAAGGAGGAAAAAGAAATTGCGTCGAAAGCAGAAAAAACTAAAAGCATTGCCCAGGTTTATTTTTTTTTCAAACATTTTTGTATCGCCGCTTAATATTGAGATGTGGCTAATCAATGATATTTAACATAGCAGCTTCCATTTCCGCCACCGCATATGATGCCACCGGGAGGCGCCGCCGGTTTGTGGCCTGGAAATCCGGCAGCTGCTGCAATGCATTTGAATCAACTTTTGATGCCAAGCATGCTTCCGCTACCCATTCCACCAGCCGTGTCCTCAGCAGGCGCTGCAGTGAGCAAAGGATCTGCAGCTGGGTCATCGGATACCTTGTTGGGAGTCCCGTTTCTGAAGCCAATGTCTGAAAAAGAGTTCTACGCAAGACAGAAGCAACTGTCAAAGAAAAGTGGAGAGACTAACATCAAACGACTGGAGGCAAAGTCAGTCCTTTTTCATCTACAACACGATACGTCCAATAGTCTTTTTACGCTTGCGATTAACAAGCGTTATTCAATCGGAATCTACTCTCAAGTTTTTTAAGATTTTCCCAGTTTGCTTAACAAAATCATGCCCGCCTTTTGCCATATGACGGATTTTTTTTGCTCCAAGCAACTTGTTGTTGCAGGTGTTTTTGATTTTTCCTGTAATTTTTAATTTACTAGACCTGACTTCGTACATATTCCTTTTTAAAAAAAAAAAAGCTTTGTTCGGCCTACATGGTTTGGGCTTTGGTTTTATTCCATCCCATTTAAGGTGAACATGATTTTCACATTTTAAAGATTAAAGTAACAAAATTGTTGTCATGAAAACAAAATTGTTGTCATGAAAACTTTGATCTGTCAAATTCTGAAACTAAAACAATTTCATCCTTGTGTGTTTCAAAGAAGGTTCGTAAAAATTATGTTCACATTTTTACGAACCTTCTTTGAAACACACAAGGATGAAATTGTTTTAGTTTCAGAATTTGACAGATCAAAGTTTTCATGACAACAATTTTGTTTTCGGCTCACCGGATAATCAACCAAGTTTTGTCGGCTCACTTGCCGCTCGATAAATGTTTTAAATTTTTTTTTACGAATCGACTGTATTGCTGGACGTGTTTTCCTCAAATTGAACATCATTTGAGTCAAAACATGAAATTTTTGCTTTTGGGTATTTTTTATATTACTTTTTTTGGGTATTTTCCATTTTTGTTTACTTTGCGGCTTTTTTTATTTCATTTTTTAAAGTCGATGAACGTGTCATGATGGGGCTAATGGCAGGGGCTAATGGCAAAAGTTTTTTTTTCAATTTTGACCCAATTTTGGTTTTGAGGGGAAAATTTGCCATTAGAACAAATTTTTATCGTCACTACATAAGGTTACGTAGTTGAATTATGCATTTTCTTTTTACTGATCTGGCCGGCCCTTTTTTAACTTTCTGGTACTTCGGTTTACTGACCTACCACCTACATTTAGGCTACTCGAGAAGCAATTACAACAATTAGTATCCAGCGATGACTCGTCTCGAGGTGCACGCAAGATGAAGAAACTTGCGAGACGACGTAGGTCTCCATCGCCGAGAAAGTCCCGCCCAGAGAAGCGGGCGCACAGGGAGAAGTCCCGAGAAAGAAGGCCTTTCCAGCCAAAACATGGTTGGCCAGCAGACGACAAGCGCCGAGGAGAGTACAAAAGGTACGAACCGTATCCTCCACAGTCAAAGAAGCATAGGAAACAGAGTAGGTCAAGAAGTGGTTCTAGAACATTCTCAAAAAGTCCTAAAACCCGATCGCCGTCTCCGAGGGGCTTGAAGAAACCGAGAGCAGCGAAGTCGCCATCTTTGACCGAGTAAGCTTTAAGTTAACTTTCTGTCAAACTTTTGACGGAAAGTCAAACGTTTCTGAAGAAAATTGATTAAGCTGGAGTAACATAATTTGTTCTTTAGAATATCTGATCCCTTAGAAGCAGTACTAAAAAGTGCCAGACAAAAGGTGGAGGAAATGGAGACGTCTTCAAAGGTAATCATTAGTTTTTAGTGTCACTTTGGAAGCTAGTGCAAAAAGGTTGAGATACAGCACAAAAACATTGTTATGGCCTTTTTTTACGAAGTGAGCGGGAAGGAACTATCGCGAGACCTGGGGATTTTCTAACAAGAAACTTTCAATCGCGATTCGGATTCTCAAAAGAAATTGTTAAAATATTGTCTCAGTGTGGAGTAATTTCATTTTTCAGAGTAATTTACTGCGGGGAGAGAGAATGAGAAATCCGTTTTGGCTATCTGTTAAACAATTCTCTAGCTATAGTAGATATGGCTACCGTATTATTAAGAGTCGATGAGCGCAGTGAAGACTCTAATATAGGTCTTGGTGATTTGAAAAAAAAATTTTCATGAAAAAATCGTAAAATTAGTTCATGCTCAAATTTGATTTTTGCGGTTTAAAGTATGATATCATTTTAAATTTAGTCCATTTCCTTCGTTAAAGGGAAGGCAAACACCACTATTCGACAGGAAAAAAATGTAAAAGTCACGAAAAACGTGAACTATACCAATTGATCCTGTTTTCTCAATTTGAGTTAAGATAATCAAAAACGTCCCAATCTTAAATTAATCTTGAAATTCTTTGAACTTTAAGACCATATAATTTTATTTTGAAATTCGACAGTTTTTTTCCTGTCCCTTTCTACTGATTGACTATTTTCTAACTGTGTTGGCTATGTTTTTAGTTGACAACCTTATTCTATGCTCCTCTTTTGGTCGAAAAATGTTAGAAATGATCGAACGGTTTTTAAACAAGTAAAGAAAACTGCTTGGCAAATGTTACCTTTGGTGGGAATGTTCTGTGCAACTGATACAACAACATTGTAATTTCGTCATTGTAATTGTACTTTTTCCACATATAGCCTTTTCACTCTAATTAAGTAAGGGTCTAGCTTTTCTTCCGATAACACAGTCTGATTATTTCTAATTAATTTAGGCTGGGAAAAAGAAGCTAGAAGAAGGCGAGCTGGAATCCCCGATTGTGAAACAAAGGCGCATAAAAGAGCCTCGTGCAAAATCAAAAGAACGCCGCCGCAGTCTTTCGCCAAAATCGGCCTCAAACGAGTCTAATGACGAATCAAAAACAATAGAAAATGTGACTGAAGAAAAGGGTGAAAAGTTAGACGTGGTTTCTTCGTTTAGCGAGATAAATAAAGTGAAAAGTGACGCTAAGAAAGGTGAAAATTGTACGAGACCAGAGGGCCAATCAGAATCGAGTAAACCGACGACTCCTACCTTAGATGAAAAACCAGAGGAAGCAGAACCTGTTGACTTTTCACTTCTGGCTTCTGTTGATTTGATGAAATTTGACTCGGAGGAAGATCGAAAAGTAGCAGAGAAGTTTCTGAAGGAGGCTCAGATTAAGATTTTGGAGCACAGGAAGAAAGCGTTGATAGCTAAACAGGGGTCAAGTTCAAGAGATCGAACGCCTGAAGCGTTAGAGATTCAGGAAGAAAAGAAAGATGCTGAGAAGGGCAATGAAAAAGAAAACGTTTCTCGAGAATTGAAGGAAATTATGGTACCAGAAGCTGAAAGTGTCGTAATTGAGGAAACAAAGTCGAAGAAGAAAAAAGATAAAAAGAAAGACAAAGAGAACGCTCTGGGGTTAGTTCAGTACGGGTCTGAAGAAAGTGAAAATGAAATTGATCAGGCTAAAAAGGAGTCAAAGGGAAAAGAGCATACATCTGTAATCAAAAAGACTCCCAAGAAAAGCAGACATTCAGATATTGAAGGGAAAACACCCGATAAATCAAGTAAATTGAGTTATGGAAAAGAGAACGAAGTTCTGACAGAAAAGTCTCCAATTGAAAAACCCTCAAAAGTTTCCATTTTGAAAGCTAAGTTGGAGAAAATAGAAGCAAAGTCAGCTGAGAAAGTTTTTGCTAATGAGACTACAAATAACGAAGGAGTTAATGATTCCGAAAGCGTGAAGTCGGCTCACGATGCTGCATCGCATCCGAGTGACTATGACCATCCACAGTTATCTGCTGAAGAAGAATTCATACCTGGAGAAAACGACGGAATCGATGATGACGAGCAAAATAATTCAGAGGAGAAGAGGAGTTCCCAGTCGCCCTCAAAAAAGAAGAAACGACTCAGAGTCGAGCCTCCGCCGATGGTCAGTAAGACCTCGGATCGAGTGGAATCGTCAGCTGCTGATTCAGAGACGGAAGGGGGAGGTCAAAGTCAAGATAAAAAGAAGTCGAAGAAGGAAAAGAAGTCTAAAGAAAAGAAGAAAATGAAGGAGAGAAATGCGACGAGTCCGACTGCAGAAGAGAGTGTTGGGAAAAAGGAGTTGAAGACTAAGAAGAAGAAAAAGAAGAAGAACAAAGAAGGTTAGAAGCATTTCGAGCTCGTATTATTGGAAAAGATCGAAGTATTTCGAAGTTTGTAAGCATTCTACCTTGAACCCATTTTTAAAGACATCATAATTTATACGGATTGTAATATTACCTCTGTGTAAAAAATATATTTTTCAAAACTTGTTTTTTCTACAGATAAAGAATCCAAGAAAGAAAGGCAACGAAGAAGTTCCAGCAGTGATGCCGCTTCAAGGGAGCCAGTCTCAAGTGACCCAGAAGACGGACCCTCACCTGCGTACGATAAAGATGAAAAGTACAGTGTCGAGAGCAGGTCGCCCTCGGCCAAACGCAGGAAGGCGGACAAGATAGTGAGACGTCGCTCGGAAGATCGACAGTACTCGGTGGAACGAAAGATCAAAAACAAGGAGAGGGACCGATACGTTTATAGAGACGAAGAAAAAAAAGGTTTGTTTTATCAAAGACCTATACGCTCAAGCAAATTGAAAACGTGACTTACTTTTTAAAGTTGCTTAGCCAGCTGGAGTTGTTGCACCAGAAATAGAAATTTTTACTAGCTGTAAGTTATCTTTGGTATGAATGTTCGACAGTATGGGTAATCTAAGGTGTTTTTTATTCTCAAGACTTAATGCTAATGGCATGTGATTTGACCAGGTGCAGTTTCGTCAGCAGTCATCACTCACACCCGGCGGCATAAATCTGACAAGTACAGAAGATCCCACTCATCTGACCGTGTAGGCGACGGGAGGGGAAGAGAAAGGGACGAAGTGTACGAGTCAGTGGGGGGCAATGGGAGCAGAAAAGAGCGCGTGAGAAAGGAGAGAGACAGAGATAGTAGGAGTGAGTCGAGATCCGTCTCCAGGAGTCGCAGTCCCTACGAGAAGAGGAGTCCATCAAAGAAAGACAAGGTTCAATTTTATGATTGCCCTATAACAATAGTACTGTCGTATAACAGTATGAGGATTGAATATACTTGAGAAAAACGTTTCGCGGCCATTTCCAACATTGCAAAAGTACTTCTATAATTGAAAAATGTGGACCAAATACAACTATAAGTTGATATTCAGGTGATTCAAGTTATCAGCATATCATGAAACGTCCACCCAGTCTGCTTTTAGGCTAGAAATTGAAATCATGTATTTTTTTTATTACAGCGGAGAGCTCCAGAACAAGTCTCGCCCACCAAAAGCAAAGTTACCGCTTTGATGCCGGACGAGCAACTGCCGCCTAAGAGTAGAGGGAGCAAGAAGGTTTCGAGGCGAGATGACTCGGATGATGAACGAGACGAGAGACGGGGTAGAGGAGACCACAAGAAAAGAAGAACAGACAGTCCGGCTCCACAGAGGAACAACAACCATACTTCTCACTACTCCGAAATCAGTAAGCAAATATTCAAGTTCCAGTGCATGTTATGTATTGTTAATGCCAAATTGTTAACAGGCAATAAGCATCTCAAAATTGAAATACATTAGATTTGCAGGGATAATTTTGAAAGAAAACGTTTTTTATACACTTGTTTAAAAAACATGCAACAGGTTCTTTGCTCAAGAATACCGTTGATCAATGTGTAAACACTCCAATGTGTAAATTTGAACGTAGTTATTTAACCTAAAACTGCTTATTTTGACGTCGGATGTCTCTTCATCACTGATTTCTACACGCGAAAACCGTGTTCAAAAAACAAATTAACCTAAAATGCTGTTTTTACCAATTACACCTTTAAAGGGTTTTACCAATTAAATTACTAAAGGTCACAGATATTGTCAAAAATTTGCCATTAACTGTAAAGAAGGAGTGCTTACACATTGATTCACGGTATTCTTGACCAAAGAACCTGTTGCATGTTTTTCAAACAAGGGTATAAAAATGTTTTCTTCCGAAATTTTCCCTGCAAATCTTATGTATTTCAATTTTGAGATGCTTATTGCCTGTTAACTTAAAACATCATTTTTATTTAAAAAAACTATATAAAAACTGCATATTCTAAAATTTTTCATATGCACTGATATATTTAGGTGGATCTGAGTCAGATGGTGCTTCATATAAAAGCAGATCCATATCATCTCCAGACCAACAGACAAGACGGCACCACCGGCGGGACAGAGGAGAACGAAAATCCAGTCACAGTCGCCGACCGCACGATAGATCCGACTACCCTTCGAAGCACTCGGGTCGCCCTCGACACGATGACGACGTCTATGTCAGTTCGAGGGCTCCGAGATCACCTGTTAGAGATGCGACTTATCATTCCAAGAAAGACAAACGCAGGAAATGATAATAGAAGCTAAAAACTAATAGCGAACAAAACGAAACTTAACGAAACGGCCTAGTAATTGCTGAAATCTTCGATAATATTTGCTATTTCAAAAAGTATAAATTATGCTTTCTTACGTGTTAGTTGTTTGATTTTTGTCCTTATTTTCTGCAGAATTTATTATTTTCTTTTACTGTAATTGAAATTCGGATTTTGCTTAACTGTTTCCTTTTACTATAATACAGAACATCTTTTTGAAAAATTAATTTAAAACAAAAAAAAATATTATTGGTTTTAAGAAAAGTATACGATCTTAGTTTGCGTCATTAACAAGAATATTGAATAAAACTATAATACTAGCAAGTTCAGGTTAATTCACTTTTTGTTGTAATCTTGATTTTTTCCATGAGTGAGAATATCTCTGACAGAAGGAAGAAATATGAAAATGAGTGTAGCTCAGCTGAGAAAGTGACGGATCAGCTGTATATTCAAGAATAACAAAATGTTAATAATGAAGTGAACTCAATTCTGAACAAAGTCAGACTAATGATGTTGACCTGGGCCTTAACACTCACTGTTTCTGCACACAAACTGAAATAATCACATTTGAATTGAAAAAGCTGCCGAAAAACTTGGTTTCTTTTTGTTTTCAGGTACTTCGTTCAATTAAGTTTTATATATACCCTTTAGATAAGTGTTTTCTCTTTTTTAGTTAAGTTCATGGCTAATTTGTCAATCATAAATTTTTCTCGAAAATGAGAAAGCTTCAATTTAAGAAACTTCTTTGTGGTCTTAGGTTTCCTTGAGTTCTTTTACGTTTTTCTAACTTTGTTGCCTATGGTGAAGTTGAAAGTCGAATTATATCAGTTGGAATTTATTAGCACAGCCTTAGCAGTTCGTAACGAATCAAGTGTTTCTCTGGTCAGGTCTTTTGGCTCCGAATGGTCTTTCGGCTCATTCAATATGATATGTTCATTACACTTGCAATAAGCAAGGGTTTTGCAATCGGGTACTGGACTTTTTTCCCGTAAACAACTCTGTCCACAGGACTTATTGGACTCCTGACGTTACCTTGGTTCATAAGTAGTTCAAGTTTTGTAGTGTTGTCTCTTGCTCACTTAGCCTGGTAGTAACGAATAAGCTTGGGACGGCAAGGCCCTGGGTTTGAATCTGACCAGGACCAATTTTTTTCAAAAGGTTAATTTTCCGGTTCGAACAAATTTCGGCCGATGATTTTTCTGCTCATGTTTTGTCGGCCAAGTTGCAACAAATAAAGTTGTTCATTTTTTAGCCTTAAACAATTTTCACTGCAGTAGCTTTTGACATTTTAAAAATCAGGCCGAATTGAAGTTTGCTTTTGACATTGTTTCTAATTTTATCAGCGCGATTTAGTAAAAGTTCACTTTTTTCCCTGTTGTTTGTTTTTTTTATGGGCCTATTAATTTCCGGTGGAATTAATATCGAATTTGTGGCCTTTTTTGCGTTGTTACGACCGGTAAAGGTGTTTGTGCGCGTGTATGTGCTCTGAGGGGAAAAGGTACTGAACATTTTAATAAGTTAAGAATTTCTACATAGGTATTTTCGGATGTGTTAATTTTGACTTAGTAGTTAAAAATTCAAATTCAATCAACCATCCGGCGCATCCAGCTAGAAGTAAAACAACAGCTTGAGACTGCAAAAGTCTGCAATTTGAATCCGGCGGGCCTAATTTTTGCAAACTAGAGTTTGTGCTTTTTCGGACTATCTTCTGTCTGTTTATTTTGGTCGGCTTGGTTCCCGTAACTCGGTGGCTCAGCTTTATTCCAAGTTCCTGTTCCCCGATGCTTGAGAAGACAAAACCCGGTAGTTCGATTTCAGTTGAAACTTGACTGTTTTACCCGCAAACAGTTCTCCATACACATTTCTGCTTCAATTCTGCTGTCAAGCTCAATTTCTTTACACTTGCGAGCTATTATTAGCATTAGTACGACTGTGATTTGTGTTCAACCTAACTTGCAAATAAGAGAGCGCATTTGGTGGCTTTTTTCGCTCAAATCACAATCTCTAGAATTGGAAATTTGTCCTACGCTTTATTTATGTCTAGTGTTTATTGATAACTAAGCGTCCTAAGACAGAGAGTGAGACTCCAAATCTTGAGGCCGAGGTTTTGAATTCGGTACTTAAGCAATTCGGAAAGCAAATTATATCTTCTGGAACTCTTTTCAATCATTTGTTTTTTGAAATCTTGGATTTTTTTTGTTTAATTTGATCAGTTCTTTTTATACAAATCTTTCGAGTCTTTCAAAAAAATGGTTCCAATTAAAAAATCAATTTTTTGTCTGGTCTTTTTCAACCTTACCCTATTTTCTACAGCCTTCAAAAAAGATTTTTGACCCGTTTTTTGACCTTTTAATTTCTCAAAATTTACCCAACAAAACCTAAAACTTTGACTTCGATTAAAAACACGTGTATGTGCATAAGCAGCATTGCCCAAACATTTTTTTACTCTTGAAATTATGGCACTTAAAATTATCAAATAAAAATTTTTTGACCGTTTTTTAAGATTTATGCTTTGTCTCAAAAACTTTGTCCCAAATCAGGTTTTGGGGGCTCAATAAAAAAAAACAGGTTGTGAGAAATTCCCCTGCATGTGTGGTTACGGCCAATTTAATTTATAAAAAATTACGGACCTCATATAAAACAGTTTTTAACCTCAGATTTTGGGTACAATTGATAAACAAAAGATATATGAAGCTTCTCTGCAAGAACGGACTTCCACTTAAATGTTTTTCTTATCACAAACAGTGTTATGGCTCTGAGAAAAGTTTTTGAACTTTTAAAGGTTTTTTGGAAAGTTCGACTATTCTCAAAAACTACACAGCTTATTCTCAGATTAACAGAGTTTTTTTGCAGCATACGCCCTTTTTGGTGTTAAAAAAAGCTGTAACTTTCGGAAAAATTAAATTTGATCATTTTTGAGACCGTTTTTGGAATTTTTTTTTTGACTTCTTAAAAAACATCCTACCAGATATGAAATTAAGGATGAAATCGAACAAACTGGTTGTGAAATTTTGTCCGGCAGGAACTTTGATTCAATGATTTTTGTAAAAAAAAACATGTTATGTCAGTCGAAACGTCGGCTTTTAAAATTTTCGGCGTTTTCCAAACTTTTTTTGAAAAAATTTCTCTCTCGAAAACTACCCTGAAAAATCAGAGATTTGAATCAAAAAAAGAGACTATGGGAATCTTCTCCGTAAAAGTGGCTTCCAAGTCATAGCTTCAATAACAAATCAGGCTGCATAAAAAGTCCCCTATTCTGTCAATTTCAATTTGACTTTATTTTTTAGAACGTGTGATAGGTATCTCATCTCCCCTACACCTGGTGGCTATCACTTCTTTAGTTTTGGGTTTTTGAAAACAACACATTTCATCCCTAATCAGTAAATCATATTTCAAAAAATATCAAACAGGCAACTCCAGTTTTAGCTAGGCACCTAGTTTTAACTGTAATTGAAAGTTCTTCTGTAGTTTGTTGTTTACCAACACTAGTTTTTTCTTTTAAAGGGGTTCGATTTGTCTTCTATCTGCTAAGCCAATTTATGTTGCGTAGTTTAAAACTCGAATTTTTAAATGGCGATGGTTTTTCATCTTGTTTAATATCTTGTTTAGGGCTAACATCTTGTTTAGCAGAATCACTTGAACCACCTCGGTTACTAAGGAATTCAAACTTCTATGCGTGTCCGGCACTTAGATTAGAGGTGAAGAAAACGCCTGGGACGACAAAAGTCGTGTGTTTGTACCTGACCAGGAAGTGTTTTTTTTGGTTTCAAAATTGAATTGTTCTTTTTTAAAAAAAATGTCGGTCCATAGTTTGTCTGATTATGTTTTGTCAGCTAAAAAGCCATATTGTAAAATTTTTGTTTTTGAAGGCCATTGTAATGTAGTTGCTTTCAGTGTTTTCAAATACCTCTGCATATTTTAATTTTACAAGCTTTGACTTCGTAAGTTTGCGTAAAAGAAGGGAAGTAGTTCGAGCGAGCGGATGATGTTAACTTCTTCAGATATTGCGGAAAAATCGTGTTAGAGTTTTGGATTGGATTTTTTAAATCATGATTAGACTTAAATTTGTGGATGTTTTCTTAAAGGGCAATTTCAACTGGTTGGATATGTTCATACGGGATAATAATGTGGCGAAATCTTCAAGTAAGAATTTATAAGTGAAAAAAAATGCATTTGTCTCTTAGGATCATAGTTGCGGAAGATGCTGTGAAGGTTAGTTGTTTTTATGCAATAAGGGAAGTATGTTGATGTGTATTGAAAGTTGATAAACAGGTAGTGGCGATGTCGGTTGCGAGATTTTGAAATGTGAAGTAAGTGGCTTTGAATAAAACTGTATTAGGTATGAATATCAAAGAGTTTAATTTAAGCATGATTTCGTGGGAAAATTTATTATCACGTTCTCCAGGTATAAGAAAAAAATGGTAGCTGAAAGTGATCAAACTTACTAAAGTACGATTCTTAAGCTTTTGTGTTATGGAGTGCGTGGTCGATTACATGATCAAACTTTTTATCAGTGCGTTGAGGTTGAAGATGTAGTCCGACTCTATGACAACTTTCTCTGTTAATTTTGAGTTCGCTGTGTGTCAGTATTAATTGTTGAGCCCTCCATATATCGGATGACTGTGTGATCATAGTGAGTTAATGAAAATTGGCTTGATTTTCGTGCAATTAAATGATTAAGCTTTTGTGATAAGCCAATGTTAGTGAATACATTCAAGTCAAGTGTAGTGCAGTGGTACCGTGGTGGATAAGGATGTCACAAAGTTCGTCGTCGTCTGCTGTCTTTCGTCAGGGAAATTTGTCAGCTAAAAAGCCATATTGTGAAATTTTTGTTTTTGAAGGCAATTGTAATGTAGTTGCTTTCAGTGTTTTCAAATACCTCTGCATATTTTAATTTTACAAGCCTTGACTTCGTAAATTTGCGTAAAAGAAGGAAAGTAGTTCGAGTGAGCGGATGATGTTAACTTCTTCAGATATTGCGGAAAAATCGTGGTTAGAATTTTGGATTAAATTTTTTAATTCATGATTAAACTTAAATTTGTGGATGTTTTCCTAAAGGGCAATTTCAACCGGTTGGATATATTCATACGGGATAAAAATGGGGCGAAATCTTCAAGTGGGAAGTTATTAGTGAGGGGGCAAAATATATACAACTGTCTAACATGATCATAGTTGCGGAAGATGCCGTGAAGATTACTTGTTT